GCTTCGTTAACAATCAGATTCTGTAGCAAGTGTTAAAGAAATTCGAAACGACTCTCTGGCACCGAGACAGCTGGAAATTGTGTCACGCTAGAAATAGTGAAAATGAATCGCTCGACGGCAACTCTTCTCTCTCTCTGTGTTGCCAAAAAGCTTATCTGCCAAAAACTTTTTTTCAAGATTAATAAACTTTTTGACAAGGCCACGCAGATGAACACTAATATTTTTAGCAGCCGTGTTGGTAATATTGTATGTGCCTATTTGTTTGAATAAAAGATATTGATTTGCATAGGCCTTAGATGTTTGAAGCTCGTTGTAACGTAATCAGATTATTAAGCACTGGTGCAAGTGCTCTGACAATTAATTCATAAATTCGTGCACACCAAATTCAGTACATTTCAAATATTTCTTGCAACCCGATTTATCTAAAGCTTTAAACACTGAGATATAACTTGTTTGTTCCCTCGCTACGGTCCCAGACGCGTGCCTCGCAAGAATGAGTTTCCATTCAACACTCTCCGTAACTTGTGCTCAGGTTGTCCTCTTAAAGTAGCGCAGCCCGTGCCCGCCCACCGACAGCCCGACACGGAGTCAAGGGCCTCTCAGAGACGCGCTGGGCGGGAGGCTTTCGCGACAGATTCGGAGACTGGACTTGCGTTGGTACATTTCGTTGTTCCGGTGTGTACTCTCATTCTGTCAGGACCTTAAACCCTTTACTGAACGTACACACCTTCCCCTTCTGAACGAGATCACGACCCCCGTCGTAATGTAGGTGATTTATTTACTTTTTTTTATTTACCCCCACGTAATCTCCCAATGCCCCCGTTCCCCATGACAGCATCGGTTACACACACCCTGTACTGTAGTGTAATGTACTAACCTTCCCTTCCCGTTCTGTTCCGCCGCTGGCCTGGACCAACAGCATCGGTGCTCTGCTGGCTCGCCTTCGACCCAAGGTAACCCAGCAACCCCCGCACCCTGCCGATAGCCCGCTGGCAGTAACCCCTGCCGATAGCCCGCTGGCAGAAGCCCTCTTTCCCTTCTCTCACACATCGCCAGACTCTGTCCCTGGCGACTCTGCTGGCCTCCCGCTCGTGACCTGTACCTTTGATTTTTTCCTTTTCATTTCGATGGCTTATGTTTTTTGTCCTCCAGATGCATGTAGACCTCGTTAGGCTTTGATGCTGTCCACTTACTTTCTCATGCACGTTCTACTCGAAATGATTATTCAGGTATTACTGCGAAATGGATGCGTCATTTTAAAATTACTTTTTTCATAAATAACATCTTAAGAATCTTACAGATTGCATAATCATACAACTACCACTTTTGACACCGCCTTCCAACTATTATAAAGTCCTTACTCTCATTTACCCATAAAATCATCGCAGCCATTAAGGAACACAAACCAAACATATAGTCTAAAAATCTCAATAATCATTCGATCCATTATTTAAAAAAATACAAATCCTATACAACATATCTCAATACCATAAAAGTCAAAATACCCTTGCAAAATGATGTAAGAGCACCTCTCCATATCACCCACGTCGCTCGAGCATGGCAACTGCAGACACCTAAGAGGCTCCCACTGTCCCAAGCACCGCCACTCGCTCGTCGCCGCGCCCGCCGTCGCTCGCCGCAGACATCAACAACCCGCAAATGCCTGACGATGGCTTTTGTCACTTATTGCTTCCGACGCCCATCGCACCTCGAAACAGTGCTAGTGGAGTGAGCCGAGACGGGGGCTGACGGAACCGTGACTCAGGAGTTTTGATCCAGGAGGTTCGATACAGATTTCTTTCTTTTATCCGGATACTTTTATCCAGACCGATGACCTGAAGTCTTGATCCAGTCCTCTTAAATCTAGACCCTTTTATCCAGACCTTTTTATCCAGTTTTGATCCATTTTTTCTTTATCCAGTTTCTTAATCCAGTCCCTTAACAAAGACCCATGATCAGTCCAAAGCTTCGTGATCGCAGCCAGCCATCCACGACCGCGGAATCGAGAGCATAATCAGAACCGGCCTCTATGAAGCGCGCAAGAGGCCGGAGTTTCTGATTTGTCGCAAGGAAAAGAAATGGATAACTCCTTCATTCGGCGTCCTTTCTTGACGTCCGCTTGATTACCATCCAGGGAGAAGAAAGAGAAGGAGAAATAGAGGACAAGAAAAAAATGTGTTAGCCTCGTTCCTTTAGCTTCTTTATGCTGAAAGATATTAGCATTGGACTGCATATTGACGTCCCCTCCCTCTCTTTCTCTCCTTCTTTCTTTTCTTTTATCTCCATTCCCATCTCTCTCTCCACGCCCCACATTCTCCCTCTTCACAACAATCACGATCGCGAATTCAGGAATATTGCTTAAAATAATAACATGTTATAGTTATTTCAGATTCCATAGATTTGATGAAAAAATAATAATAAAAAATAATGTTGGCAGAATTATATATACAAGCTGAATGATATCAGAAACATAGAGCGTTACCTCTTAATTCCTAGCAGTATTTTGCGGATAAACCAAGTACAAGTTCAACTAGGGTGTCAAACACAATTTCAGTCTTTCAGTCTGCCGTTTTACATGCTTAATTAAGCACGTCTCTCGTCTTTTAAGATTATCATTTACACTCACATTTTTTTTCTATTATTGTGTTTTTGTAATGAATGAAATATGCTCTTGCGTTTCTACGCCTTCCATATGATCCATATGGATGACGAGTTTGACAGCCCTGAGTTAGACTATATTTAGGAATTCCTCGAAGTCAATAATTATTTGATAACGCGCCCTTTTTTTCAATACGCTTGAAGTACTGTAATTGATATTGCCTTATCTTCAAATAGCGATACAACAAACAGCGCAAACATTGTTAGCAATGGCGTATTCTCATTCCTACAAATTATCCCATAATATAGCCTTGCCGCTAATATTTTTCCCTTCATTATCATTACTGTCGTCATCTTCCTGGTCCTCACCCTCCTCCTATTCATTTTTATCAGCTTCATAATCATTAAAATCATTACTGTTTCCATCACTATGATTATAACTTTGTTTCCCTGAGTCCTGACTTCGCATGCCCTGCACCTCAAGCGCGGACCTGCGTTTAGCACTGAAGCATCCCTCGGCATGATAGTAGTCTTCTTATCTCCCCAGTTATTTAACAGATCTGTAGCTCCTTAAGTTGTGTATAAAAAATACTAATCTAAAATTAAGAAGGCTAAATCTATTAGAGTTACCAATCAAGTCACTGTAACTATGGTAAATGAGAATATCAACAAAGAATATTTCAAATGTTACCTAGCTGAGCAATTTTCTCTGTATGACTTGCTGGATCAGAATATCATAAGGATAAGCTGTTTTATACAGGGGAATTATGTTGTAGACATGGTGTGTTGGCTGTAAGTGACTGTGAAAAAGCTTAACTGACGACAAGTAATGCTATCCTGCTTGATCAGCTCCGATGAATCTCTGTGCATGCCCGAAGACCTGGTGCCATGTAGTGACCCTGGTGAGGGTGGCTCCCCTCGGCTTGAGGACGACCTTCCCCTCTGCCTGTCGCCGCTCCCCGCCTCGACCACACTCCTGCTGGGGCCGCTGCAGGGCTCCCCTCCGCTCGCCCGCCCGCTCTCTGCACTTTCCCTCTCGTCAGGAGAACCACCTAGCACTCTCTTGAGCACAGGCTCACGCTCTAGCACGCCGCTGCTGCCGCTAGACTCACCTCCTCACTCACCCCCCTCGGTAGGGCGGCCTCTTTGCCAGACACGATTCTACCGCCTCGCATCGCAGGTACACACGGCGCTTGCATGACAGCTTGTTGGGCGTGCATGTGCTCGTGTCTCTCTCGTAGTCTAGATGAAAGGTTTGAATGGTCCGTTTCGTTTATCATTATATTGTGTTGACCTAATAATGAAGAGAGCTTTCACCACAGAGCCAGAAGGAAAAAGTAAGTATTCTTTGTATCCAGATAATGTAATATGAATGGTTGTCAGGCGAGCAGATAAGATTGTTTAGATGTGTCAACGTTTGTGAGACTACTTGTATTAATATATCTTGTGTGGACATATGTTTCTGACTAATGATTTAATAAAAATTATGTTTGGAAAGATATGACTTGGAATATTACAGATCAGAATACAAATATAGATATAAATTCATGTTAGCTTTTGCTGACAAACAAATCAATAATTATGATTCAGTTTTTAGTGAATAACATAATTTGCTCCAATTGTTCCATTTAACATAACTGCAGCAAATTGTTTGGCTGTAAAATTATTCTGTAAATTGGGTAATGTTGCATCAACAATCTATACAGAACATGAGACAGGAAACTCAAAGTATATACAATGATATCAGCAGCATCTACAATTCATAATTATTAACATAACAACATGAGCTCCACAAAAATATAATATTTCCGTGACTTTCACCAGACAATCAGTGGGTGTACAACAGAACAACTTGACGCTATCTTTCATTTATATAAAAACAGGGATTTTCAAACATGAAATCAATAAAAAAAAAAAAAAAAAAAAAACTATCTCTCTGTGTTTGGTGTCAAGGTGTTGGAAACATATGAAAACTGGAGCATACGTCCCAAGGTTTTTGCATCTTCGTAATTTTTGGTACTGTATCCCCCACTCACAACGCAATCCTTCCATGAACGAAATGGTGGCCAAGTCTCTTCCGTGATACCAAAGCTTGGGATATAGTGGTAAGATGCACTAAATGGTATCTTGCGTAGATTGGTTAGAAAACAAATGGTTGGCTAAAACCGCATATATTTTATATCTTCAAATATCGGGACCTGTCATTACTTTTCCTTAATAATTAGATATTAGATAGTTAGATATTAGATAGTTAGATAATAAAAACTGTAGCCTAAAAAAATATATCAAGTATATCATTATCAAGTAGATAAGAAAATGAGTTTGAAAGAAGGAAAAGGAAAAGGAGAAAGCGAAGAATTGGAAGACACGAAGATATAGAGATTGATAATACTAACAATTAC